AGACAACTGTAAATATCCCACCAGTCTAGCACTCCTTAAATCCCCAGGTGTTTGCAGCAAGGTCATCTTGACTTTGTTACTGTTAACTGACCTTTAGACACCAACTCATGGTGACCCTTGGATGAGACATCTCTAAGCCCCCTGTCTTCCACTGTCCTGTTTAGGTCCTGTAAATTCATGCTTGTGACTAATTGAGTTTATCCATCTAGCTTGCAGTCTTCCTCTCTTTCTGCTTTCCTCCACCTTAGCATTATTGTCTTTTCTAATGATTCATGCCTTCTCATGATGTGGCCAAAGTATGACAGCCTCAATTTAATCATCTTGGATTCCATGGAGATTTCAGGCTTGATCTGTTCAGGGACCTTTTTTTTTTTTTTTCTTTTTGGCTGTCTACAGTATCCATAGCACTCTTGTTTGCTTGAAAGCCACTTTTTGCACTGGTCAGCGAGACTGGATTTGCAAGATCTGCTTCCTAGTACAAACACAACAGCAGCAGAAGTGTCTGTTGCTACTGTGTGAACATGTTACTTTAAATCACAATGAGTCCTGGCTTCTTGGGTTGAGTACATGTTTCATTAAGCCTGTAATATACAAAGAATGCTGTGTGAATTGGTTAAAAATCATGTATGAGGCACTTATAACAATAGTTACTGTTTGTTAACTGCTCTCAAGTCAATCTCGACTCATGGTGATCCTATGGATGAGACATCTCCAAGACCCTCTGTCTTCCACTGCTCTGCTTAATGCCTGCAACCTCTTGATACCCATGACCTCCTTAATAGAGTCCATCCATCTAGCAGCTGGCCTTCCTCTCTTCCTACTTCCCTCCACCTTCCCCAGCATTACTGGTTAAAAAAAAATTGGTCTTAAATCAAGTCTCTTGCTGTGACGTTCCTAGTCAATTCCGTGGCAGCAGCCAATTATGATACTCAAAGCCTTGCATGCTTCAAGAAGCCTGTATTAGAGGCAAGCAGTGCAGTGATGTATTGAGCATGAGCTATGTAGTAGGCTTCTACTCACTCTGTAAGTTTCCCTTTCTCTTCCCCCTTTCCAGGTCCTCCAAGTAAGCTCAGAGTGAGTGGGTTTCTAACTAAGAGAGCATGTAAGAAAAGCTGATCATCAAGTAGTTTATTTTCTCCTGGCTGAAGGACATTGTTGGAAACTCAAGTATGGATTTTGCAGTGGTTCTTGTAGAAATGTTCTGCAGTAAGGTCTAGCTAGAATAAGTCTTGCCTCATCTTTGGAAATATCCCAAGTGAAGTAATTCAACCAAACCAGTACTTCAGGGAATTGCCTAACTAACAGTTCTAGTCCAACTGGCTCCAAAAAGGCTTTGGGCAACTTGTAGAAACATTTTACACAGCTAAAAGATATCAAGTGCAGGGACAATGTGTCTCAGACTTACAATTATTTTATTAATGGACAGAAGTTTACCAAACCACCATAAAACAATCTAGGAAAAACACAACAATACAGCATATGAGGAAGTCTGAAAATATCTCATGGCTGTGAGATATCCAGATTTCAAAGTGCCTAAACACAGCTGTGCTAAGGCTTAATATACTCCAGGGGAAAGATCATTCACCAGGGTAGGGTAACAGTGCAAGCTGCATTTTAGTAGCATCTATACCAGGTGGGGTTACTGCATTTAAAGGCTGTAGGTAGTTCTTATTCTCGTTTAGACATGTCTCCTGCCCACAATTAAATAAGACATGAATGAGTCTTCTTTTATGGATATATTGCCATGTTAGTACACTCCTAATACAGTCCAGAAGTATCAGTCAGTTTGCTTTCCATTACTCACACTGAGATAACATTCTAGTGCACCAGTGGCCATGTACTTTAGTTCAGCCTTGAGCATTACGCTTGGGTTTTGTTTTTCAAGAGTGAGGTGATCTATCAGATACCCTGTCAAGGGATGGGAAAAACATCTACCTACTACTGCATCCAATTAGTGTGGATGACTTGTATGGTTTCTACTACAAAGTCTGCATGTCAGCATAGGTAGTGATATGGGGAGAAGGATATTCCTTGCAGAAATGGCTAAAGTAAATCTTATCATCTGCATGGAAAGGCACTAAAAAGTTCCTATTAGAGAGAGGAAGGACTTGTAGTTGAATACACTACAAGAAAAAAAACTACCAGGTGTCTGGCTTGATGCTCAAATAAAACATCACATGAACACAACTCTTGTATGAATCATAACTGAATACTTAAGACTTCAAAGGCATCTCTTCTCCTTACTTCTGAAATGGTGGAGCCTGGCCTACTAGCCAACTTAGTGGCCCAGCTATCAGATAACAGACCTGTTCTCAAGTTCCCTAAGGGCCTTTTCATACTACAGGAGCCCTATGATTCCATTACCTGCCAAGGCAATAACCTGTGTAATCCTAGGATCTGTAATTTAAGGGGGAGCCCTCAGAATCCTCAGTCAGAGACTTCATCTGGCACTTTAGTCCAAACTACAAAGCCCAAGTTTCTGCAGGTTGCAGACAAGTCAGGTAAAGTGTAGTCACAAGGCTATAACTGCATAGTGTGAAATAATTCAAAAACTCTGCTGCTCTGCATAAAACTAGAAGGAAAGTCTAAGGTCTAATCTGTACTGCAGAATTAATGCAGTTTGCCACTGCTTTAACTGCCTTGGCTCCATGCTATGAAATTCTGGGAGTTGTAGTTTTGTGAGATACTTAGCCTCCTCTTTCAGTACCACAACAACAGGGTGACTATATGTTATAACTACAAAGGAAGACAAGGCACAGCAAAATGACTGCCATTAAAGAAAAATGTTGGACATTACCACATAAAAGCTACCACCACTCATATAAATATAAATGCATGTGTCTTAGCCATGCTTAAAGTGGAGGAGACTTTGGAGTTCCTCCTGGACAGAAGGCTGAAATGCAGGGCATGTCCTGGAAAAGGAGGAGACAAACCAAAGATCACATGTAATGCCCTGCTATCAAATAATAATGCTCTCCCTTCGGTCTAATTGCTTTGCAACAATACTGCAACTGTTCAGGGTACTGGGGGAAGGGGAAATCTGGAACTGTTGGCAAGGGTGCTGCTGGCCATCTGCAGTGGAGGACAAGGGACGGGTGCAGAGCTTTTCTCCAAGATGACACTGCCAAGTAGAATAAAGGTCAAGCACAGCTCTGTGCAAGCAGGCTGGTTTTCTTTTATAATCTCCGGATCAGCCTTGGAGCAGTGTCTCTGTTGAACCAAATGGCTACATGTAATTCATTTTTGAAATCAGTACCTAGAGAGAGATCTTATAGCACCTTTGAGACTAACTTGAAAGAAAAAGTGGCAGCATGAGCTTTCATAGACTTCAGTCTGCTTCCTCAAATGCATCTGAGGAAGTAGACTGGAGTCTACAAAGGCTAATGCTGCCAATTTCTTTCTTTCAAGTTAGTCTCAAAGGTGCTACAATATCTTTCTACATACTGATTCTACAGACTAACATGGCTATATCTTTGATTTCCATCGTTCTTTTAAATGTTCATGTTCTACAAGCCCCAATGCATAGTTCCAGTTTTTCTCCTCCCAAAGTACAGACCTAGACTCAAAAAGGTGCTTTTTAAAACTCTTAATCTTTCCTCCAAGCTGCTTTGAAAGTGGCAGAAAGTGTGATCCCTTGTTCTTTTGATGGATCAGGGGACCCAATCTTAGCCCTTCTCCCTTCCCCATAGACACACACACATAGCGAGAGCTGGGAATTGGCAGGGTCCCAAGGGAAAGGAGGAGGCTCTGGTAGAAGAGACGCTTGTAGGCAGAGGGTGCAAACAGTTGGCTGAGAGCTAGACAAGAAGGTGTCCTCAATTTACTGAAAGTAGGGAGCCTTTGGCCATCTGGAAGTTTGTACTACATACTGGCTGGGGCTTCTGAGAGTTGAAGTCTAAGACATCAAAGAGTCCAAAGATTCTCTATATCTTTTTCGGACACAGTCCATCCTTACTAGGGAGCAAGTGGTGGGAATCATGCAAAACCCCTTCCCCTGATCTTGATGGACTGCAAATCTCCGTTGTCTTAATCAGCATAGCCAATGGTAAGGGATGCTGCGAGTTGCAGTTCAAAATATATAGGGGAACCCATGACTCTCATGGATCATGCGAGAACCCTTGTGAAGCAGTGTGACATAGTGGTTTAAGTACTGGACTATGACTCTGGAGGCCAGGGTTAGATTCCTAGCGTAGTCATTAAACCCGCTGGGTGACCTTGGGCAAATCACATTCTCTCTACTCTTTACTTTGCTGTGTAAGGGTCTTCCGATCTTCAATAGGGAGATTTGATTTGATAAAGGGCAAATCACATTCTCTCAGCCTCAGGGGAAGACGGTGGCAAACTTCCTCCGAACAGATATTGCCAAGAAAACCACATGATAAAGGTGTCCTTAGGGTCACCGTAAGTCAGAAATGACTTGAAGGCAGACAACAGCGTTACTTGCAGCCCTGCTGTGAGGATTACTGAGAACATAGGTGAAATATGAATGCCAAGTAATGATGTGATACCTGAATGCAGTGTTAAAGGCAAAATCAGTTACAGAAATAAAGATCAGCACCAAAGGAAGAGTTAGCCTGTTTCATGTGAGCTTTTCCCAAATGGGATCTGCTCCATCCCTTGCTCTGTCAGAAGAGTGGCTACTTAACTAAAACATAACAGAAAAGAGCCTTGGAATACTTTTTCCTGACTGTCCCAAACCAGATTTCACTTCCATAGAAACGCAATCCATTGTGAAACAGCCATGATGAGCCAGCCACCCGTTTTTGCCTTGGAGGCAAAGGCTGCAGCGCTCTTGCTTGTTCATTTCTTTCCAGCCTCACATCTAGTTCATTTGCTACTTGAGTTGTGCATAGGCTGGCTAGAGACTGAGGAGCTCAGCAGAAGTACCACAGCCACCACCTCCCAGGTGGCAAAATTTTTGGGGTTAGGAGGATTTTGTATTTCTGAACAAGGGGTGCTCAATCTGTACAAAACTTGCTAAGAAAACCCCATGATAGTGTTGCCTAAGGGTTGCTGTAAGTTGGAAACGATTTGGAGACACACAACAACAGCAACCTGTAACCTGTAAAAGTTCAGTCATTCATATTTTGAGGGTTTCCTTCCGAAGAGCAAACCTGCTTTAACATCTTGCAGTGGTTTTTACTCTGATTCATAAGGCAAGGGTAGTTTGTTTTTTGTTTTTAAGGTTACATATGTAAAGGTTGCATATTATGTTTCAGCTAAGTAATCTTCTTGAGCAATGACTACTGAATACTCTTGACTAGGTAGATGCTCTTGAGCAAGGAGTAAATATGCCCTTTTGACCAGGTAATCTTAGGTCCTTATCACACTCCATAGTTACAATGCCATATTCCACTTTAATTGCCATGGCAGCATACTGTGCAATCCTGGATTTGTAGTTTAATGAAAGAGCTCTCTGGCTGAAAATGCCAAATGCCTCTCCCTAAATGCATATCCCAGGATTCCATAGGATGTTGCCATGGCAGTTAAAGTGGAATAATAGCACTCTAAGAGTGTAGTGCGCTAGGGCTCTCAGTTTAAAATGTGTGTTTGGAACTGAAACTGAAAGGAACTTCAGTGGCTTGCAGTGAAACAGTTTCCAGAGTGTAGCCATGTTAGTTTGTGGCATAAAACAAAACAAAGTTACATAGCATTTTACAAACTATAACATTCATTTGGTTTTGTGGAATTTAGCCCACTTTAAAAAAAAATATTTTAAGTCAGTTTCCAAGGTACTCTTTATTTATTTAGAGAAATGTTGTGACTTGTCAAGTATTAGTTTATCAACTGCGTAAACCAAATACTAATACAGTATTAGTAGCCAGAAAAACATCTTCACTACACAGCAAGATTTTTTTCTACCCAGGGGCAAGCTAAGACTTAAAACCTTTAATATGATTTGTAAATATCAAGTATCAAAAAAAACCCAAGCTTTTTTAGTGAGCAAAAGTAAACTTTTTGCTCCAAGTCATAAATTCTTAATATATATGTATATGGCAAAGAGATAAAGATTCCCATCACTTCCATCTCGTTTAGCAGGTGGTTCTATTGCAGATATATTTGGAATACAAACAAGCAGGGTTTTGTAAAAAGAATCACAGTTTTGGTGAAAAGATCAAAACACATCTTGCTGTTCATCTCTCTGCTCATCATTGAGGGTTGGCAGGTACCTAGGTCCAGGGACTCTGCATGCACAGATATCACTAACACTTTGGGGTTTTTGGCTTAAAAGCCCCTTTCCTGCAGAGGCTAAGCTATAGAGGGCAATTGTACCATGTTTTGGAATCATTATGGTCTGCTATTTTTTCCAACCAGGAGGTGAATGGAAGTCGCTTCCAATGAGGTGGGGGGCTCCCCCAGGCTAAAACAAAACAGTATGGGCCAAAATGGAAGAAATGTCCCCCAGATAAATAATAATAATAATAATAATAATAATAATAATAATAATAATTTATTTATTTATACCCTGCCCCTCTGTCAACTAATCGGCTTACATCAGTTAAAAATACCATACAATATAAATCATCCTAAAATACAGTCTAAAACCCCAAAACCCACCCTCCCACCCCTAAAATAATTTTAAATCATATATCAATTAAAATATATAAAAAAATCACAAAAAAATAATAAAACAAGCAGAAATACAAGACAAGCAGGGCAACAACAAGAGTCAAAAAGGGAATGGCTAAAACAACTCCTGAGGCTGGGAAATCTAGGCAGGAAAGGCCTGCCGGAAGAGATCCGTCTTCACAGCCTTTTTAAAGCTGCTCACGGTTGTTTTCTGACAGATCTTGTCCGGCAGGCCGTTCCAAAGTCTAGATGTCCCTAAATTTAGATGTCCCTAAATACCTTAAAGGCACCAGATCCTGTCTAATTTCAGAAGCTAAGCAGTGTTTGGCCTGGTTATTATTTGGATGAGTGACCTCTAAGGAATAGTAGTGCTGTAGGCTATCTTTGTGAACCAGCATGGTGTAGTGGTTTGACTGTTGGACTACAACTTTGGATACCAGGGTTGGATTCTCAGCCCAGCCATGAAACCCATTGGGTGACCTTGGCAAGTCATACTCTCTCAGCCTCAGAGGAAGGCAATGACAAACCTTTTCTGAACAAATTTGCCAAGAAAACCCCATATAGGTTTGCCTTAAGGTGGCCATAAGTCAAAAATGACTTGAAGGTACACAGCAAGAATGGCTATAGTTCATAAGAAAGCAATGGAAAACTGTTTCTGAGTATTCTTAACCTAAGAAACCCCTATGAAATTCATGGGGTAACCAGAAGCCAACTGGCACATGCTTTATTTTACTGTGGCTCTTAGAGGCACAAGGGAGGGGTGTTTTTGCCTGATTTAAAAAAAAAAAACAGACCAAAAATGGACATTGGAAGCAACTCCAGAGTCTGCATTTTTCCAACCACTGTTGAACTGTTTCTAATTTATAAGTTACTGTACTTTGCCTCTTTTCACACCCAGTAATAATGGAAGAATTACAGTGTTCCTCTTTGATTGATCTCTTTCAGAGCGTCCTGGAATGCTCGACTTTAAAGGCAAAGCCAAGTGGGATGCCTGGAATAGTTTGAAAGGTAAGATTTGAACAAAAAATGATGAAAACTGCCAGATCTGACTAGAGACATGGATGGTCAGTTCTAGCATCCCAACCAAATCTTGAGGTTGCCTTTAGAAGGAATTTCATTGAATGTAGCCTTAACAGGCTGTATGGAAGGCAAATTTATCTTTGCACATGGGGGAAGATCTCTGTGAGACAATCTAAAATTAGAATAAGTAGTTTGTTTACAGCCTCCAGTGTAGTAGAATTTAAAGATATAACCATGTTGGTCTGTAGAATTAATATGTATAGAAATTTTGTAGCACCTTTGAGACTGACTGAAAAAAATATGTTTGTAACATTTAATCTACTTCTTCAGATGCTTATGGTGGAGTGGAAGCCAGGGACATCAACCTTCTCAAAAAACTTGCCCAGATACAGTTATCTTCTTACTCAACAAGTGCAAACAACGGGATGTTGTTCCTAAGGACTTATGTGTGGGGAGCCCTTTGCAAAACTACGTATCATGTAGAGCTCATGGGTTCTACTCACACTGACTGGTTCTGCAGTAGCCAGCATTCCTTTTGAGTTTTCTTCAGTTAATCTCCTGTCTGTCCCTGGCTTCCACTCCACCATAAGCATCTGAAGAAGTAGACTAAAGTCTATGAAAGCTCATGCTACAAACTCTTTTCTTTTTTTCAGTTAGTCTCAAAGGTGCTACAAAATCTCTATACATATTAAGCCTACAGCGTAGATATCGAAACAGAATCTTTCTTAGGGTATCAGTAGTTCTGCTGGCTTCCTGGTTTTTCTTACTGGCAAGAAACTGGCACAGTAATAGTCTATCTGGTAGAATTCAGACACATAGCCATGCTAGTCTGGTATATCAGTATGCAAACAAATCTTCTAGCACCATTGAGACTAACTGTGTGAAAGAAATTGTAGCGTAAGCTTTTGTAAAGTTGATCTACCTGTTCCATCTGAGGAAGCAGACCAAGCCTAAGAAAGCTTATGATACAACTTCTTTTGCACAGTTAGGGCCTGTACAGACTACCAGAAATAATTCAGCTTGAGACCACTTTAACTGTCCCGGCTCAATGCAAAGGAATCATGGGAATTGTAGTTTTCCTGAGACATTGAGCCTTCTCTCTCAGAGAGCTCTGGTGCCACAATAAACTACAGTTCCCATGATTCCTTAGCACTGAGCCAGGACAGTTAATGTGGCCTCAAGATGGATTATTTCTGGCAGTCTGTACAGGCCCTTAGTCTTCTTCCTGTATGATTTTTAACAGCTTTTGCCTGATGTGTTTTGTGCATTTTGGCTGGCCAATAAAGGTAGACTCTTTGGTGGCTCAGTGGTTAAGATGCCAATTCTGCCGATCGTAAGATTGGAAGGTTGGTTAGTTTGAGGCTCGGGTGCTGCATGATGGGGTGAGCTCCTGTCATTAGTCCCAGCTTCTGCCAATCTAGCATGCAAATGCAAGTAGATAAACAGGTACCACTTCGGTGGGAAGGTAACAGTGTTTGGTGCAATCATGCTGGCTACATGACCACCAGAGCAGTCCTCGGACAATGCTGACTCTTTGGCTTAGTAATGGAGATGAGCACCGCCCCCTACAGTCGGTTACAACTAGACATGTCAAGGGACTACCTTT